CTCGACGTCCCTTTCCTCTGCCCTCATCACCCACCTCACTCCACGTCACGGACACCAAAACGTCCCCTCTCTTTATACGAGATAAGCTTGCAAATTGACCTTGGAAGAGCAAGGATGGGAAATGGTTGCATCAGGCTCCATTCTCACAGGCGCGCTCTATCGAAAAAATAATAGATAAAGGCTGGCAAATTGAAAGGAAAAGAAGTTACCTGCCTGGACGGCACATGGGAGACCTGGGCTTGTTTCCCTGCACCCCTAGAAGTCTCGTGCGACTTTAGGGCATGTCTGCTGCAACGTGATGCAGACAGATGAAGATGCCACCGACTCTCCCGCTCCCACTCTCAGGCTGCAGACCTGGAAACGCACCTCTGAAGCAGTTTGGGGCACATCCCCTGGCTCCAGCAGCTCTCGAGACCCGTCCCAGGTGCTTAAGCCCCGTCACCAGGGATGCCTCCAAACCAGCTCCGCTGGGGTATTTCTGAGCCTGAAGTACGTGATGGGAACAGGTGTGCAAGGAGCATCTGTGCTGTGGCACGGGCAGGCATGCCCTCTGCGATGGATCTGCGAAGCTATTTAAACACCCAAAGGCCCATTAGAAATGACTTGGCCAGTGGGAGTGGGGCACCTAAGTCCCTTTACTAATTAATCCTTTGATTGTTCAGTGTCTCGGTGCCCTGTCTGCTGAGCAGGGGGAGCAGCACTGTCCTGCCGTGCAGGGACCGTGACATCCTTCAATACACAGAAGCACCCTGGGCTGATAAAATTCCTGCTTTAAAAAGAAGGGGACGGTCCTCTGGCCTCTTCAAAATCCCTCCACCGTGCCAGCCCTTGCAGATGGAGCAGAAGCCCACTCGTGCACAGCCCTCAGAGCTCACCAAGAGAAGGAAACGTCTCCTTTCTCACCACATCCCGATAGCCCAGATGTTGCAGTCAAGCCACACGCTGTGAAGATCCCATTATTGTGTAAATACTGCAGTGTGCTACAAAGCAGGAATGACTACAAGATACGCCAATAAATGGCTTTAAGTAAGAATCACTCTGTGGATTTCTCCAGCCTGTGCAGTCAGGAGCAGGGGGCCATAACAGGCTTTTTTGGGCTCAAAAAAAAATTTTAAAGTCTATGGCATTCAATAGTATAGACTAATTGTCCCCAGGAACAGAGTATTTTGTAGGCATTAGCATCTTTCAGGTTGTTTTTCTTATTGCATTCCTGCTCTCTCTCCAGTTACTAATTCATAAGATTCAATAATAGAAAATTGACTGTAATTAGCCAATCTCCCCAACATCAAAGAAAGCATTGAACCACGACGGCAATAGTCTTAGGCAAAGTGCCTATGGGAAAAATCCATCGGTCAATTAGCCAGGCCGTTGTGCACGAGGGGAAGGAAAACTGGCTTCTCCCTTCAAAATGCACACAAGCAAAACCAAGGTCTGCGGGGGCTGTGCTCCGAAAGAAAGCGAGCGGCACTTGAGGAAAAGGCTTTGCTACACCACCTAGACAGGTATCGGGGGACCGTGGCCGAGACTCATCTATTGCCCACCTGCCAAGGTCCGCAGGACACTCCCTGTCCAGCACCCCCCAACATCAGAGCGCCGTCAAGGGAAGAGATCAGGCCAGACGCCCACCCTGTGCCGCGAGCCGGAGGTCTTGCTCGCACCGCGGCCATGCAGCTCTGCGGCGGAGGCAGCCTACACAGCCGTGCAATGCCCCGTGCAAATGCAACGCACCTCACGGGTCTCCGAATATCATTGCCCGTCACATCCATCGGCTGCCCAGATCAGCCGCTGGGGATTGGCACCCACCAGCCCAGCGCCTGTAAAGCAACCACCGCGGTAGCCAGCAGTCCTCAGCCCCCAGACATCACGGCCAGGTTGGCTGACCATGTGCAAAAGCTGCATGCGGTGCTCCGGTGTCACCCTCCGCTGCCAGATCATCAAAACCATCAAGCTCCACCAAGCCTCCTTGTTGCAACTGAAGGGCCACACGGTCAAGTGCTCTTGTGTGGCAGGCAATACCCTGAAGTGCACTACTCTAAGCTGGAGAGCTGAGCCATTAGCACGGTGAAGAGATGCTGCCAGGGAAGTCAGCATAACCCTAGGAGCCTGGCTTAGCTGCGGGACTGAACGAAGTGGCTGGTGCCCCTGTTCTCCTGCCCACACCAAATGCATCCATGCTGTCAGGCAGCCTGCTGCTCTGTTCCTGCCCAGACCAAAGGTGCATTGCAAATCAGCAAAAACAGGCTGTCTGCCAGGTCCCCGGCCCTGCTGGGAAGCAGACTGCACGGTATGGCGAGTCCTGCTCGCAGCAGAGGTAATGCACACCGAAGCCAGAAATCTCCCCTCTGCTCAGCTCCACGGCAGCTGCTCAAAGACTGACCTACAGGAAGGGCAAAGAGCAGGAGCAAGAGACACCAGATCGACCGCGGGCAGCAGAAAGGGAACGGTCCTGCCGGTCAGCTCCGGTGCGAGCAGTGGGCTAGGACGGTGGGAACGGGAATGGTTATGCCTCTGCCACCAGACTGACCACAGGCCACCGTAGCCGTGATGACCAGCCCAGCAGTTGCATGCTACCAGCAAATCCCAGGGACCACGGAGGACGACAGGGGCCGTGAGACTTCCCCAGAAAGCCCTCCCCGTGATGACACGGAGTCCCACAGTCCTCAAGTGCCGGCCCAGAGCTAGCGGCACCAAGGCCCGAGCGCACCCGCACCCACGGATGCCATCCGCCCGTCGGCATCACATCCGACACGCTCCTAGGAGGGAAGGATCCACAGGCCCAGCTGCACCACAGGGGAAGTCCCCAGAGTGCGACACTCGCTCCCAGGCCCAGACAGACGCTGTCATCTCAAGGCTGGGCAGGAAACCACTTTCCACTCTCAGGAAACCGTGAGCTTGCAAGTCTTCAGCATCACAACAAAGCCAAGACCTTTCAAAGGGAAGCAGGTGGGAAGGCAGAGAGAAGAACCAAGTGGTTTGGGCACGCATCTACAGAAGGGAAGACCGAGTCCTGAGCCCCCCAACTGGGCTAGCCTCCCACATCCCAGGCAAGGATACTGGTTATTCTGGAGCAGGCCTTGTTTTGACCAGAAATTACATCTCTGACCCAAAATCAAGACCTGCCTGGGGGGAAGCAGCCAATAAACCCTTCTGCGGCACCGTGGCGTGGTGTGGGCAGCTGCCCTTCACAAACTGCCCCATTTAATATAGGCTTCCCCCTCGGTACTGAACGGGATGACGGTGCTCATCCAGCCTCCACAACCCATTCGGCTTTAGCCTCTCCGTTCCCACTGCTGCTATTTTTAACTGGAGTCCTGGTGCACTGTAGTTTCTCCGATTCGGTCTCCTCTCTCCTAGCAGCTCCTGAAATTATCCAGTTTCCATGGCAAAGAGGCAAAACTGCCAGACAAACCCAAAGCATACTGGCAGAACCGCGCAGGGAAGCATGACTCGGGCATGCTTCGCTGCACCCAACGCTGCCCATTACCCTGGGATTCAACAGAGGGGGAAAAACAGGCAAAATGAAGAGTCCCTGTTAAAAGCACCTCCCGATTTTTTCAGAGCAACTGATTTTGGAAATGGTGGAGGGGTTGCATTTTTTTTTTTTGCATCATAAATAGTTTACCAGGCCTTACGTTTAGGCCAGCGGAAACATGTGCACCGCTCCACACGTTACCTTGTCAGTCTCCTGGCAGACCTCTGGAGGAAAACCGCGTCCAAGGGTGTGACGCGGGCCACGCAAAGCAGGAAGGTGACCGTTTTCTCCAGGTGAACAGAGGAGGATGTGTCAAACACATGCATAATTTTCATTAAACCTGCGAGCTGATATTTGTCAGGAATCTTAACTGCAGTATGTATGTTTGTACTGATAAACGCCCACAGGATTAAGATAATCAGGAAAGACAGTGTATTAGCAAAACGAGTCTCCGTTCTACCAGCAGTAATTCTCATCAAATATTGGACCAGTGGATAGGGTTGGCACGTGAACAAGAGCCTGGATTCAGGCATCGCAACCAGGAGGATACGGTCCGAGAGATTCCCTGGCACTAACCTCGTGGGTTAGCAATCCAGGAGTGCCACATTTTAAAACGGCAGGGATGTTCTCTCAATTACTTCGCCTACACGAGGAGCCATAGGCATTTGAGAAAACCCCAGCAGCCGTCCACAGGTCAAATTCTGGGCAATTAACACAAATATGCAGCGCTGAGTGATTAATTCATCTTTGCAACAATGAGGTAGGCAGTTGGCATTACATATCAATAGTATTTTAAATGATAGGGAGGCTGAGGGAGCAACTTGACCAAGGCACCGAAAGCAGAGAGGAGCAAGGAGGCAGGCTCTTGATCTTCTCCGGAAACCTCCCTGCTGCATGATCTGATGCCAAGGAGGTTTCTGGGCCCAGCAAGTACCAAGGTGCTTCTGAGTTGAAACTCAAAAAAAGCCATGCAAATAGATCCCAACCACAAGCAGGAAGGAAACAGAAGCTCGTATGAGATTGCCTGTGTCACCGTCAGCCAAAAACATGTTAAGAGGATTTCTCCTCAACAGTGGCGACCACAAAGGATGATCCGGACCAGGGATTCTCAACCAGGATCCTCTTAAGGGTGCCATATTAGCGCTGCTAGGTGCGCAAACCCCCACGTCCAAGTCACAAGATCAACCCGGCAATTTCAAACAGGAGCCCAGAGGGTCAAGCCATGCTGACCGGCTGCGGGCCGAGCTCTTTGCAACAGAAGAATTGCTCTAATATTTCTCCGCTGCAGAAAAGAAGTGAAAGCTAAGAGCTGGCAGTTTACCCGCCGGGGCCGAGTCTAACGGGGGAGTGGGTTGAGTCCAGAAAGGTTGCTGTGGACAAAAGACAATATTAAGAGCCCGTTGCACCCAAGTGTTGTTCACGTGCAAACCTTGCAATGCAGCGTTCACGCGGTGGTGGGAGCAGGCACCGGCTGTCCCGGGGCCAGCGACCAGAAGGGCAAAGGAGAGGAACAGCTGAGTTTACTTACATCAGAGGCAGGGCCTTTATCAGCACCAGGGCAGGAGAAAGTAACAAACTCATGGCACCGCTTGTGCACAACGAAGCAGCAAACTGCAAAGAGAACGCAGGGGAAGTGTCAATCAACAGGCAAATTAAAGGCTGCGAGCCACATTCATCCAAGGCTCACGGCTTTTCAACAGGCGTGAGCTTTGCACACCGAGATGTGCTGGAACGTTACCTTTCATTTCCCCTTCCTTTGTAAGGCCGGGTTAATTAGCTTCCTCAGAGAGCTGGCTTTCAAAATATTGCTTTAATGTTATAAAACAGGATTATTATTGCTCATCTAAAAGGCTTCCATAATTCCTATGGCAGGTCACTTTTTTTATTTTTTAAGAAAGCCCATGGAAAAATTTCCAAGTCTTGGTGCCTCCCATGAGCCAGAGATCACATCCCAGTACAAATTTACAGCATGGAAAAGCTGGACATGCATCACAAGCCACAGCTGAAACCTGGTTAGCATCTACCCCACTCGGCTCTTAGCATCCTCATCGCATGTGCGCAGCAGCTCTCGCACGTGCAGCTCCTCCAGCCTGCAAGGACACTGCCCATTTTGAGAGGACCGTGCTGCAAGATGGATCTGGGCAAGCATTGGACTAAATGCCCGGTGAGGCCCCTTCCAACCCTGCAATTCTGCCCTCAAAAGTCTGGTGCTGAAACGGCTACCTCCAAATAGAGACTATGGGGTTATACACTATATTCAAGATCTCGATTTTAAGAGGGACACTGGTTCATCTTCCTCCCAAACCTCTATATGCTTTTCCCCACCTCCCCAAGTTGCTGACCAAGAAACTGCTCATCCCCTCCCCTCCTCTAGGCTTTTATATCACACGCTAGAAATGCAACCCCGGTTGAAAGCTTTCATGGGGAGGTCGTCTTCTCTGGGAGCATCACCGTCAAATGCATCGCACTATAATACCCATGTAGATTCCTCATGTTAAATCATATGACCTGATCCAGCAAAGTCATTACCTGGGACTCCTATATCCTTCAAAATGTGTCTGTGTTTAATGACCATTGAAACACCATTAGAAATCTGGTCTCACTTCTTTGCAGGGCCACATGCAGGCACTTAAGTGTCCTGGTTTCTCTGAGTAAAAGTCAAGTGATTTAAAAATCAAATCCATATTTAGATATCCACACAGCGAAGGCTGAAAATGTTGGCCTGAGTGCTTGTGTACATTGGCAAGCTTTACACTGCCCTAGCAAAAAATAATTGATATTTACTATCCTCGCCTGGCATTTTCACACCAGCATCTCGTAAAGGGAAATACAGGCTTCAGGGTACTCGGAGTCAGATATCCAAGGTGTAGACGCAAGCAAATTGCGAAGGTATAAAACAAGATGACACGGCACCGAGCCCAGAGCTCAATCCAGGCCTGCAAACAAGACAGAGGAAAAATGGAGCAGTAGCCTTGGAAGAGTCCTGCTGTCTTAATCCAAGCTCGTGCATCGAATCGCTCACGCCCCGCTAGTGTCAAAGGGAAGGGCCGTGCAGTGGCTGGACACAGACCCTGTCAGGTGCCTGCCTCCAGCGCAAGGGCTCGAACGGCTCAGCGAGGCGCTCGGCTGCCACGGCATCCCTGAGCAGAAAGACCGTGCAGGCTTGCACCCATCGCCGCAGGAAGACAGGGTGGACCGTATCTCAGCTGAGCGCCTCTGGAGTGAAAAATGGGAGGTAAATGGGTTTTTACCACAGCTGGAGGTAAAAAGCCAAGGCTCAGACTCGGCGCCCCTGCAGCAAGGGCTGAGACGCTTCCCGGGGGCTACCCGCACACGCTGCGGTTGCCAGCACAGATCAGACTTGCACGCGCATCCCCCATCTGAACCGAAGGCAAAGTCATTAAGCTCAAAGTCAGCAGTGGCTCTAATTGCATGGGATTTCATGAGCAAAGACCAGCTGTAAGGCAACCCTGACAACCCTCTGGCTTCATAACCCTCACGGCCAGTCTTTGCCCCTGCAGCAAACCCGTTTCCCTAGAGCGGCTTGCACACCCAATTCAGGGGCAATCAGGAGACGGGCTGGCCGTGACAAGGTGACCTGGAGAGATGGGGGACACGGGCGCATGCAAAAATGAAAACTCAGTCATACAAATGAGAACTCGGGGGACCTAGGGGAGGGCCAGCGATCGCTGCAGCAATTGCTCGCGGTGGAGGGCGCGGGCCCTCCCGTTTCCCGTCTGGCAGCTTTCCAGTAGGGAAGAAATGGAGGCAGACCCTTAACGAGCCCCACGACTGCTGCCCACATCTCCCCTTCCTCAGACACTTTCCCTGGTTGCTCCACGTTCTCCAAGCACAAGTTTGTCTTGAACCACCGAGTCTCCCTCAGCAACTCTCCTCTGCCTCCTGTTCACCTAATGAGTATACAGAGGCGGCGGCAGCATCTGGGGAG